ATCTTTGGGCAATCCTCCAGGAGGCTTGGAGTAATATATCAAGTCAATGTTTGAATAAACTGACTGCTCGGATGCCTAGTGTTGTCCCTTATTATCAATGCAAAATGGTCACTAACTAAAGAGGATTTATGCTGATATTGCCCAAAAACCCTATTTTGTTCAGGCGTTTCCAAACTTTTGGAGGGCAGTGTATAGCAGAATAAAATCTGTAATAAGCATAAAATACTGTATACTAAAGAAAAATGCATGTTTGAGGATAAAAATGGTATATAATGCTCTTTGTTTTACATTATGGTAGGGAAGTATTTGGTAATTACTAGTAATTTCTACTAGTAATTTACTTTTTATGTTGAATTTTATAGTACAAATTAATTTTTGTGTGAACACAATAGTATAATAATAATAATAATAATAATATATTTACATTTAATACTCTGTTATCTGACAATGTAAGTTTATCCTTCCAGGATTTTCTTTCAGTAAAGTAATGTGAATGATATCATGCATATGCCATCACTAAATTCATTAGTAAATTCATGCATATATTGTTGAAATATGCAAGTAAGCACAGATAAAAATTTAACAATAGATAATTATTTAACTGATCCTTCAGAAAGGAAATGGTAATTAATGGTATCATGTCCAAATATAGTTGATGTCTGAAATACTTATAAGGTATTTTTCAAATTACTTAGCTTGTACTAAATTTCCCCAGCTGCACCAAGTATTATTATAAGAGCTACATATTTACTCGTTAATATTTAGGAAATTGTTCCACTATAGCACCAAGTACTGTGATACATACCTACATACCATATCTGTAAAGTATGTAGCAGCCTATGTTCCTTCCATTTAATATGTAACCTACTGTAAGTGTTTAATACTAGTTAGTTACCATACTGTAAAATGATTATATTAATAATAATTATAATATTTCTTCTTCTCTTATTCAGCCAATGACTGCACACTATACTGTATATACATCAAATAGTCTTAGTTTAGCATACAATCATGTCAGTTTAGCATCCAATCAAGTTCATCATTGCAGAAAAATCTATCAAGAATCATACCATTTGGTCATCTGTTGTGATCTTCTCATGCTACACAATGTAGTTGGCGCTATAGCTGTCCATGTGCGTCTGAAGATGGGCAAGCCACTGGACTGCAGTGTCGAGCTTGTGAGTGAGCACCCCTGGTTTTAGGGGTGCTAAATGTTTGTCTAATTTGCTAACATTAACTGGCTATATTTAACTAAATAAGCCTGTTTTCTTTGCTAATGCCAGGTTAGACTAGCATAGATTTCGGTAGCACTGGTTATTTACATGGTATTTTACTTTTGATTAATTCATTAGCAAACTACTTAGCATTAGTCATGTATATCTAAGCAAACTTAGAGATTTTATGATGTTTTAGGCAATATGGCAGAGTTGCTTTAAAATTTATATTCTGACAGTTTTAGAAAAGTTGTTCCTCTTTTGGCTGCTGCTGTTAGGGGTCACCACAGCAGATCATTGGTCCACGTATATTTGATTTGGCACAGTTTTTATGCTGGATGCCCTTCCTGATGCAACCCTCCTCAATTTTTATCCAGGCTTGGGACCGGCACTAAGAGCACACTGTTGCATGCAACCCCAGTGGCTGGGGTTGGTTCCCTGCCCGGGAATCAAACCCAGGCCACAGCGGTGAGTACGCGTTAGCCTAACCACTAGTCTTCCAGGGACCCCTAACAATTTTAGAAAAGTAATAAAGTAATAATAAGTAATCTCAAGGTCTCTTCCTCATCGTCTCAGGGAGTTTTTCCTTGCCACAGTCGCCTCTGGCTTGCTCATTAGGGATAAATTCATAAATTAACAATTTATATCCTGAATGTATTTATTTCTGTAAAGCTGCTTTGTGACAATGTCCACTGTTAAAAGTGCTATAGAAATAAAATTGTACTTTTCACATAAAATTAATTCAAGTTCATCGGTTCAAAACATTTACTTTTTAATACTTGAGAACACTTAAAAGTAGCAGGGTTTTTTTCTTTCACTTGAATACATTTTTTTTCTCTGGATATTGCCACTTTTTTAAATTTTGACACATCACTTATACTTTATCTTAAGTAGGATTTCTCTGTACTTTCTGCATCCCTGTTTGTTTGTAGTTAAAATTTAAAAGACAGGAAGATGAAAAATACAAAATACAAATACAAACCTCTGATTTATCAATGATCAGGTTCCAGGTCTTTTTTTTTTTTTTAGACAAAATATAACTGAATCCTTCCACAATTGTCTCTCAGTGCTTGAAACAGATTTCCAGCCACCATTTAAGGCACAGGACAAGAGAGTGTGTAATGACGTCGAAGACATTTTGTCAAGCACTGATCAGAGGAAAGCCGTTGTGGTGTGAGAGTCACTGGACTTTGATTGTGTTTGATGTATTATTATTGCCATGGAGCACAAACACCATCATCATGTTTTGACTATTATACACTATTTCTAAAGACAGCAAGATAAGTCTTCATCAATCCCAATCATCTATATGAAACCAAACCCTGAGAATTTTTCTCTTGGCTTGGCAGAAACTATAACCTCATCCAGAGAAGGCTGAAACAGATTCTTCGGTCACTGGATTAATTCTTGTCAGAATGTCTGTGATGGCTTACTCCATATGTACAAGATCACTCCTCTTGTAGTTTCTGCTTTCTGTGTTTGGGTCATGGGTCAAGGTGCTCTCGATCACAGAACATGTGTTACTTCATTGTTGTGGAATGCTCTATCATAATTTCTTTCATTTCCCCATCATCATCCTAAAATCATTATCGTGTCAGTCCATTTATCATTAAGTCTTATAATTCAGATGACTTTGGGCAATATGCTAGGAGACAAAGTGTAAAGAGCCTGATAGCCACATGAAACAAAGTCTAAAAACTTGATCATAAGGCAGCCTAATCCTGTGGTACCGCACACTTTAAAAATACACATTGATGATAATGTACATAGCTTTTCTTTTTTTTTTACATAGCCTTTTTTGAGGAGGGATGGAGGTCTTGGCAAATAGAAAACTTCATTAGTATGTCTAATCAACGCTGATCAAAAAAGTTTTCTGAAGTTTGTGCATATGGCAACAGTTCAGTTCATTTCCTCTCCGGTTTAAAGAGAATATTGATTCTGTCAAGAAACAAGGCCCTTTTTCCTGTTGACAGAGGAATTTTCTGAAACTGCCGCTGTTAGAGTGTAAACCACATGCTTGTTTTTCATCTGAACTGCTCCTGAGGAAAACTTCTAAACTCCAGACTTTGTTGAATGTTACCTTTACTGTAATTACAGCTGTAAGATGTTCAACCATAATGGAGAAGATGTGGGATTCATAAGTCTTTTCAAAATAGAGTTTTGAAAGAAAAAAAAAAGTTTGACCCTATATTCATACTAGCAAGCAACAAGTGTAGTTTGTCTCTTGAAGGTGTGCAGTGTCCAGTATTTGTTTTAGTTGCAATGAGAAATTGTAGTAACCAAAATGTAAGGTCTTCTAAAGCTAAGTAGTTAAACACTAACTGTTGTTTGATTTACATATTATGTGCTAGGCTTTGTACTAGCTTCATTGGCAGATTAGCAAAACGATCTAAATGTACTAGCTATGTACTACACATGTAATGAGAGGTCATATATGACAGGATAAGATGAAACCATCGTTTAAGGTTTTTTTTTTTTCGATTTTTGTGTGTCAAGCAATAAATGGGACTCAAGGATTGATCTGAGGAGCCAGTCTTTTTTATTTGTAGGTCCATACCTAATTTGTGTGAACTTGATGAGAAAGTCTAACTTCGATTGTCACTTATCGCACTGTCACTGAAATTTTCACACAGAGTCTCACATGTATGTAAAGAAAAAAAAAAAAAAAGAACGGACATCTGTCACTTTATTGCTTGCTAGTGTGAAAGTAGGGTGAGATTGCGCTCAAAAAAATGACTGAATGATTTTATTTATCAGTGCTGATAAATAAGCAGCTTCTATTACTGAATCCTCTATTATTGAAGTAGAGACACACACTCCTGTACAGTGCTATGTGATATAGCAATGACTACCAGCAAGATGTTAGCTACTGTAGCTGTCTGCTTTGTATTGTGTCAGTCCCGTCAGAAGTGGTGTGTTTAGCTTAGCTAACCATGTGACGGCACGACATAGATATTTAAGTGCTTTCCTCAGTCAGTTTCTAGCTAGTTATTTAATGTTACACTAGATACTGAACAATAGTATATGCCTGCTCTATGTTATAAGTTGTTCTAATTGAATATTTAATTAAATTGAAATGAAAAGATCATAGAAAAGTTGATCACTTAAAGAAAAAATAGGAACTCTAAACATTATTGGTTATTTATTGCTAGGTGGATGGTGTCTGTATTCTAACAATGCTACTTCAATCATGGCTGTGCTTCCTGTATTGCTCCAGGAGAATAAAACTGGAACTGGCCACTGATGGATGGCTGGGTTAGGGCCAGATTTCTGGACAGGAATGGCTGCCCAGCCCTGGGATACAATCCCAAAATGCTCTGTGAAGCAGTCACAGCTGCCATGTCAGTCACCTGAGAGCATTCTCGCTTCTTTCATCAGACAAGTGGTGACTGAATTCTGAACATTCAACCTGACAAATTGATTTGGATACTCTTCTGACAATCTAACCCCTGCTTGCATTCCCATTATGCTCATCTCTGAGGCAAATTGGCCAGAACAGAAAAGGAGCCAGTTAATGAGGGAATTCAGAGAAAAATCAGATTTTCCCAAATTTTCCACCTCAAATAAGTAGTTGATCAGCCAAGACACATTAGCTGTTAAAACCTTGGCAACACTTGCCTCAAAAAGCATTGTTTGGCTAAGCAATACTAATTGCACAAGCATGCACAGAAGTCTGTATATGAACTAATATACAATACTATATAATAAACAGAAAGTTTTAGAAAGGAAATGTTATATGCTACGTTTAAACAAAGAAAGGAAATGTCTTGAATATTTTATACTAATGATACTGCACTATTTCTAGGTCACTATTTAAATTTAAGGAAATTTGTGATATTGACCATGTTAACTCCTTTGTATGAGGGTCGGATTGTCCTTGAATGTGATTCCTTCCAATGAAGCACATGTTCAGATGATATGCCGATGGATTTAATCTAACATGGATCATCAGGTTTTACACAAATTTGTTGAGTCCATGCCGGCTCGAGTGCACACTGTCATTAAATTAAAAGGGGGATGTACCAAATACTAAGAAATGCTGAAATTCATTTAAAATATTTGTAAGATTCTACTTGTCATTCAGGTTGTTGCTGATAATATCATTTTTCATGAAAAATGTTGTATTAAATTAGAAACAAATGCAAAATAGAAGCATTGTATTCAACCTTTGACACAGATTGTACACTATATGACCAAAACTATGTACCTGACCATCACACACATATGTGCTTGTTGAAACCATGTACATTAATATGGAGTTGGTCCCCCCTTTGCTGCTATAACAGCTTTCACTCTCCAGGGGAGGTTTTCCACTAGATTTTGGAGCATGTCTGTGAGGATTTGTGATCATTTAGACACAAGAGCATTAGAGAGGTTGGGCAATGAAGTCAAGACGAGAAGACCTTGTGCAAAAGCAGTGTTCCAATTAATCCCTAAGGTGTTCAGTAGGGTTGAGGTCAAGGGACAGAGTTCTTCCACAATAACCTGAGCAAACCATGCTTTGTGCACAGGAGCATTGTCATGCTGGAACAAATTTGGGCCCCTTAGTTCCAGTGAAGGGAAATCTTAATGCTACAGCACGTAAAGATATTCTAGACAATTGTGTGCTTCCAACATTGTGGCAACAGTTTGGTGAAGACAGGCATATGGCTGTGATGGTCAGGTGTCCACATACATAGTAGTGTATATAGTGTATATACATTATATCAAATCAATATTTCTTAGATAGATCTAAGTGTCATATAGGCATTGAAGCTTACCAAACTAGTATAGGCATGTCTATTTGAGGTTATTACACCTTTTGAGGCAGGTATGTGCTGATTATAATATTTAGATAACAAGCTGCTGTAGATTAAGATAGAAATTTACAGTTCACACATGCTTTCATCAATGTCAACATCACTTAAAGTCAACCCTCAAATATTTTCAGAACTGACTATAACCCATAAAATAAAAGAAATTGACTTCAACCACTTAGTAAATAAAGGAAAATTGAGTATAAGATGAGAAAATTGGTCATATGTATGTGTATAATATTGCTTGGGGAAGATGTACTGCACTTTTCCCAACAGACAGATAAACATTTTAGAACAACAAATACATACAACAAAGGCATAAAATTGTCCAGAGCCTGAACTAGTGCAGTCCTCCAGTAGACCATACACATCTGCAAGCAAATCTGACAGAGGGAGAAAGGCTGAGTGTGAAAGAGGGATAGAGAAGTAAAGAGAGTGAAAATCTAGATAATGTACTTCAGTAACAAGCTCTACAAGCTGCTCATTTGGGAGACATTGTACTGTCAGTGTGTCAGCCTCTGACTCCAGCAGCAAGGGCTGAACATGTACCATATCCAGCTCATTTCTCTCTCTCTTTCTCTGACACACACACACACACACACACACACACACACACACTCACACACACACACACACACACACACACACAAAATTCCTCTCCTGCCTGAGGAAATGACTAGATGTCTTCCTTGAATAGTTAAATGATGATG